GGAGGTCTGAAGAAAATTTTCAAAAACATGAAGTCTAAGCAAAATGACGAAATAACTTACCAAAAAAACTTGTAATCAGTGCCCCGGAGCACGATGATATCATTTGCTGCAGGGGAGTTATTTTCACACCGCTCGATACAGAATTGTTCATCGTGTTACAACAATAGCCTTACATCCCACTGAATCTAGAACTAAAAAGGGAAAGTGTACTTTTCGCAGATAAAAGAAACACCACCTCGAGAAAGCTTCAAATGCAACTGGGGACTTCCATCCGCCATGTTCATCCACGACGGCAACCTCTCATTCCCAGACTCTTTAGCCTGCAGGACGATTCTTGAGGCCGAGGTGAGACCTGGGGCCCATTTCTCGAAAAGCGGCTGTCTCCGAGAGATCCAGGTTTCAATAGTCTTGCATCTACCATGATAGAACTATCAGCTAATGAAACAAAATGGAGTAGTTTGGTAGGCAGGATCCGCGCCCTTATTCTTATATGTCGATTTGAATATTTGATTTCGGGCCCGAAAAAAAACCGGGATTTTCGGGAAACGGGCCCCTGGGCACCTGTTGGCTGTAACTCGGTTGCAGTTTAGGTTGCAGTTATGTCCTCCCGGATCGTCCTCCGGTTGTTGCAACCTCCGTGGCATGGTGCGAACTCCGCGCGGAATGCAAAATTGATGCATGCAGCCAGGAAACTTCCTGGCAAACCTCGTAATCAGGATAATCGAGATACTTGCAAGGCTCCGAAATAAAATCAAAGGATCTAATTTTATTAGATAAAAAAAAAAAAGAAAGAAGAAAGATGTCTCATCGTGACTTTTCAACCTCGTCCCCATCGCAGTTTGATCAAAAATAAAACACAAACAGCGGTGATAAACATTGTGAGCTTTCGCATTTTGATAAACTTGACGTTTCGTGTGTAGCGCTATTCACATACATTTTCAACGTGATCTTAAGTGACTGCTTGCGCTAAAGAAAATGACGAGACTATATATTCAAAAAAAAAAATTCTTAACAGTAATTAATACAAAAGGCATTAGCTTTTTACTGTTGATGTTGACATTAAAAGCTGGCTTAAAGTCTTGTATAAAAAATGTTTCTTTCATCTTATGATGAAGATAAATCAGTAAAAAATGGAAAAATAACTACAAGCATGGGCTCCTGCTACATGTACCTTGTCAACATTCATTAAGATATCTAGGACCAAAATTGTGGAATAGCCTGCCTAGCAATCTTAGAAATTTACCAGCACTACAATCATTTAAACGACAGATTCGTCTTCGTCAATCTTTCACGGGCACCCAACGACAAAATAGTTCAAAACCACTTGAACATAGCATTGTTAAACGTATTTTAGTATTTAAACGGTAGATATAGGCATATTTTTATCCTCTAAAAATGTTTCCATCTGTTCGGATTTCCTAGCTGAAAGTCTAGTGATCCGAAAATTATAGGGATCAAAACTTACCTTTTCGAAAATTTCAGCCAGAAAAAGGGCCCCCCAAAATTCTAGGTGACCTTTTTAGGGTTAAAATCCTTTTAAAATGGGCATTTATACCATTTATTAGATGTTCGAAAATCCTAGGAGAGGCACGCAAGCAAGACATTTTACAACAAATGTTTCGAAAAATTCTAGATCTCAAATCGTCTTCCGAACAGATATTTTCCAAAGATTGACATTGGGTGCCCCTGATCTTTCGCTTAGTTAAAGTCTGATTGTGAGAACTGTGTATTGTGTAGCAACTGATACTCAAAGTGACCTAATTGCTTCATTTATTTATTCATTTATTTGTTATCACTATTTTTTTATTTTATTCGGAACATTCTAGTTAATGTGAATAACTGTATTATATTATTGTGCTGAATAACATTATAATTTTATTGTAAATTGCTGTATAATTTTATAGTAAGTTCATCTAGGCTAGTTTTTTTAGGATTGAGAGTTGTTAATTTAAAATTAGTCTTATTTCAGTGTCTCCAATTAGTAGAGGGTTTTTACCCTCGGCTAAGTACCATGTTCTGACTCTTTAAGAAAGTCATGATGATGATGATGATGATGATGATGACTATTTTTAAGGCATTTTTACTAACCTGGGGTTTTTCGGGCCCGAAAATTTTAAAATCAAAATTTTTTTAAATAATAGTACCTACTGTAGTAGCTTAACTGGTAGCGAGTCATTTTTCATTTTCAAGATTATTGAAACGTTGATCTTGAATGCAAACGCGGCAAACAAAAAACAGCTTTTCGAGCCCGAAAAGTTACCGAGATTTTCGAAAAACGGGCCCCTGACTCTTTTGGAAGGTGCCGGAAAGTTCGTTGTCACTGAGCGTTTTTTAAAACAGGTGTAAAACAACCATTAAGGTTGTAGGCGATTGAGGAACGATTTTAAGTTATTTTTAAGTTCGTGCAAGCAAATTTACGAAGAAACAAAAAGTTATAATTAGAATAAAAATAAATACAGCGAAATTTCATTTGAAAGCAGCCTAAGTTGAATATTTTCCTTACCCTCCCCACCCTTATCATATTCACAGACGACTGTTTTGATTGGTTGAATTTAATGACGTGCCTGTTTTCAACCAATCGATTTCCCAGTGAGAGTGGGAAGATTTCTGTAGGTTTGTAATATGGAGGAGTAATGGCGTTTTCCGCCCAGACAGATCATGGGCAATGTGAACAAAAAGACGCAGTTTTATGTAGAATTGGGAAGGAAACATCAAAGGAGAAGGCGAAGGTCTGTACTAACTCTGTGGATTTTAGTGTCGCTCTAATTCGCGTTTTATGTGCAATTTATGTATGCAAAACTTGAGGAGAAGAGATTGAATTATTTTTGTTCGGTGCTGTTTTAGACAGAGACATAGGATATTTAATGTCTAAGTTTTGCCTTATTCTTGTATTTTGCGAAAAAGCACTTACTTAAGACTCGCTAAATAAATATTAAGCTTACGTATTTTTTCTGGAAATTTAGCATTTTGTTCCGAACCCTGCCGCCAAGCCGTTCGTACCTTCCTACTTGAATTCAACATTGGGTCGCTCT